GTTTGTGTCTCTTCTGAGATTGGTCCTGACTCTGTAAAGCTGAGCTGATGAGTTTACATGGCGGCAGCTGTGAGATGTCGGTAACTTCTCTTTTATAACATCATTTCAGACCCTCGCTTTAGTTCTTCCTTTTTTGATTCTAAGCTCTGTGAAAACTAGGAACATTTCTTTATTCATCAGATGTGAGTCCTGGGGCCAGAGAGATAATACAGGGCTTTTTATCTGGCAGGAGGCTGCCAGCATTCCATGGATGGTCTCCTGAGTATCAGCTTTGCCTGGTGCAGCCCTGGTGACCCCCAGCACCACTGGTGTGACCTCGGTAATTCCTGACACTGCAGGGCTTGAGCCTTCCCACATCCCCAAACCTTCACCTCGAACCCCAGTCCAGCACCAGCACCACTCCGGGAAAAAAAGCCTTGCCGAGTTGCTCTGACTAAATAAGCACTGACCAAATATTTGTTGGCTTGGATTGAGTTTCAGCTGAAATGAGCATGATTCCTAGAACAATACACTGAATGGTATTCTGCCTTTTGCCGTTTCCCTGGCTCTTTGCTCCAGATTCTGCGAGCATAAAGAGATGTTCATTTGCAGCTGCTGCTTCTCTGTATTGATTGAGGTTTTCAGATCCTCCTATCAGGCATTCTCACTGCCCAGCTTTTTTCAGAGATGAAATGATTTTCTCTTCTTCTGATTTTCATTTCATCTTGATCTATTTGTCCTCTGGGATTATGGGGGCAGAGCTGTGACCTTGAGATGGAATCAGGCTAGCTTTTGTTCTATAAATGGTCTGCATGGCTGCAGCTGCAGCTCACCCAGGAGAGGAGTGAATGAGGCCTTTCCTGCCCGTCCAGCGGTCGCCAGCAGCCCCAGCTGAGCTGCGTCCTGGAGAGATGGAAACCTCCTTCATCTGGGAGCAGCTTCCAAGGCATTAGCTAGCCTGTATGCTCTGCCCTGGGCGCCACGCTCCTTCCCTCTCTGTGGGATTACTCTTCCTTTGTTCTTTCATAGGAACCACTCCCAGGGGTGCAGGGGTGCAAGGGGAGGGGCGGGGGCATAGGCCACTCCCGGTGATGCTCCTCCCAAGAGTATGGATAATAAGTACTCAGGGGCTCCCAGGGCTATACCCATGGCAAGCTTTGTGGTGGAAAGGACCAAAGTCAGGGCCTTGGACAGACCAGGCATGTGCTCTAACCACTTGAGCCATACCCCTGGATCCCACTGCCTTTTTTTTTCCCCTTTAATTGGAGCCTTACAATTGGCAGAATCCACAGACTGTAAGTTTCCTGGTACCCTGGGAGAGTATTCTGTGTCCCATCCCTGGCAATGTTCACCAACAACAGCTTGATTCTGTTATGTTTGGTTATGCTGGTGTGTTCAACTCTTAAAAATCAATGATTTCTCTTTTACTTTTACTGTGTGATCACTGGGGGGGAAAATTGGGGAGGGGGTCTGTGGTCATACCCAACTGTGCTTGGCTTATGTCTCTGCGTTAAGGGATCCCTCTTGATGGGGGTTCAGAGGGCCAAATGTGGTTCCAGGGATCAAATTTGGTTGGCTATATGTAGGTACCCTACCTGCTGTACTATCTCTCCATCCCCTCTCCTCCCCTTTTAATAGAAAATTTGGAGAAAACAAGACGTATTGATATCAAAGAGAGAATTACCTATTGTCTTATGACTCAAAGACCTATTCTGTTTTGAAATGATCAGAGTGGGGCCAGAGTGATACATTTGACATCCCATATGGTTCTCCTGAGCACACCAGGAGTAATTTTTTTTTCTTTTTGGGTTACACCCGGCGATACACAGTTATTCCTGTCTCTGCACTCAGGAATTACTCCTGACGGTGCTCGGGAAACCATATGGGATGCTGGGGATCGAATCTGGGTCGGCCTTATGCAAGGCAGACGCCCTACCCGCTGTACTATCACTCCAGTTCGGGAGTAATTCTTTTGGGCAGAACCAGGAATAAGTCCTGAGCATTTCTGGGTATGACCCTGCCCTCCCCCACCCCCCAAGGAAAAATTAGATTGCCCACGATTTTTTTAACAAACTATGTTTGGTTGGTTCTTTTTGAGGCCTCTTAGGCCCCCTTGTTTTGGTAAGGCATCCTGCATTTTTTATTTAGAATGTCTTCCAGGTAACCACTCATGTTCTTTCTTTGCATACTGATAAAACATGACCTCATTTGCAAAGCCTTTCCTGGGCCCTTCTCCCCTTCTGTCCTCAGAATATTCAGAGCTTATCTTTTACTGTCTTTTCCTTGTGGTAGTACAGATGTTTGTGTGCTTTCTCTCTCAAATTCACTCTTGTATTTGTTTGTTTTTGATTTTGGGTCACACCTAGTGGTGTCCAGGGCTTACTCCTGTGTCTCTCAGGAATTACTCCTGGTGGTGCTGGGTAAGTGGGTGAGGACCATATGGGATGCTGGAGATCAATCAAGCCCAGGTTGGCCACTTCCAAGGCAGCTTTCTGTACTATTGCCCGGGTCCCTCAGATTCATTCTTAACAAGTTCCTGGACAAATAATGCAATGACTTAGAGTTCCACCCACCTTGGAGCATATGGTCAGAAGTTCAGATTTGTGTCCGAAATATATGTTGAGCTCAGGTGAGCACCATAGTGACCCAAAATGAGCACCACAGCCATAACTTGTGGTCTCAATTAAGTGCTCACCAGTGAGTGCAAGCACCTCACCTGATACAAAGCATCCAGCAAGAACCACAGTTGAAGTGTGTGATCACACAGTAGCAATAGAGGAAGCCCTCGTATGGAGCAGGACTGGGTGCTGAAAGGAGGTCAAGGGGTATGCCGGACACCCTATCAGTAACAGTATTGTAAACCACTGTGCCCAAAAGGAAAAAAGAAAAAAAGTGTCTGCCATAAAGGCAGAGAGGGGTGGAAGGGAAACTGGGAACACTGGTGAAGGGATTGGTGCTCAAATATTGTACAGCCGAAAATCATGAGTAACTTTATTACACTGTGATTCAATTATTTTTTTACAATGTGTGAGCCCCATAGTCAGGCATGAGTGCAAGCCCTGGTCATGGGAGCGAAAGCAGCAGGGGGAAATGAAATGAAATAAACTAAATTAGACTAAAATAACAAAATGAAATGATGGACTGGAGAGGTAGTATATAATAAATTTGGATTTGGAAAATGAGGTTATAGATTGTGCCGAAAAGTGGGAAGGATGTTATTTAAGCTTCCTGGAAGAGTTTGAGATACCAAGCTGAACTCACTCTAAGGCTGAAGAACTGGCACTGGTAGTTTCGATCACCGTCTTTCCGTGATCTCCTGTAGTGATAGCAGCAGCCCTAAGAACCGGGTGTTACTGTCCTCATTTTTATAGTTGAGGGAACATACTCAGACAGCTGACTCAATTTGTCCAAGATCAAACGGGTTACAGAGCCAGCATTTAAATCTAAAGCTGATTGTCAGTCTCTCTAATCCATTTCCATTATACAAGCTTTTATGGCTCTCTCTCTAGAGGGCCGTATCTCCCTTGCTATTAACTGATGCAGTTTGATGTGGCATGAAAAGTCAGGAGTTCTCTTCTTAGTGTTATTTGAGTTATCTGGTTTGATGAACTTTCTGATAGGATAAGCACAATACTCCCTTTTTAGGATTATTTTTAGGACCATTTTTAGGATTAGCACCAGCCAGAGCTCTTCAGCACTTCCGGTCCTCCCAGTGATCTGTTGGTTGTGGCCTAGATTGTAATCTGTGGTTTTTTTTTTTTTTTTTTTTGAAAGAACTGAGGCTCAGAGGAGAAAGTGCCTGGCAAAATTAACACCACCGCCAAGTGGCAGGACCAAGACTTGACCCTAAATCTGCGGTCTTTTGTTCTATTTTGTTTTCCCGCCACAGACCACAGTGCTGTGGTCATTCCCAGCAGTGCTGTGGTCATTCCCAGCAGTGCTCAAGGTCCGTGCAGGGTCGGGATTAAACTCAGGCCCCAAATGCAAACTCTACACTGCACCCTCGTGAGCTTTCCCCACTGTTTTATATTTTGTTTTTGTTTGTGTTTTATTTTGGTTTGGGACCATATCCAGCAATGCTTACTCCTAGCTCTGAGCTCAGGAAACTGTCCTGGCAGGCTCAGGGGACTACATAGCGTGCTAGGGATGGAACCCGGTTTAGCCTCATGCAAAGCAAATGCCCTACCAGCTGTCCTATCACTCTGGCACCCCAAGTCTACTGTTCTTAACCCTGCATTACATAGCTTTATTGAAGATGCTTAGAGCAAGCAGAGACTCTATAATGATGGCTCAACCTGGGGACATATAATAATGTCTACAGATAATTTTGTTACCATTTTGGTGTTGCTGTTGACATCTATTAGGGAGAGGTTAGAGATGCCTAGATTAGCTTCCAAAACAGAGAATGTTCTGATCTAAAATGTCAGTAGTGGGGCTGGAGCAATAGCACAGCGGGTAGGACGTTTGCCTTGCATGCGGCCAACCCAGGTTCGATTCTCAGCATCCCATATGGTCCCCTGAGCACCGCCAGGGGTAATTCCTGAACGCAGAACCAGGAGTAACCCCCGTGCATTGCCGGGTGTGACCCCAAAAGCAAAAAAATTAAAAAAAAATATCAGTAGTTACCAAGTTTTACTCTGAATAGGCAAGATTGGATATGCAGAAAGTCATTAGTGATGATCTAACCCTTGAGGCAACTTAGAAACTTCTAGAGAGCTTTCTTTGTTTTTGTTTTGGGGACTTGGGGGGAACCACACTTGGCAGTGTTCTGGGACCAACTTGGTGTTTGGGGTCACTCCTGGCAGTGGTCAGGAGCGCATGTGGTGCCAGGGATTGAATCAGGGTCAGCCATGTGCAAGGCAAATGCCTTAATCCCTGTGCTAGCGCCCTGACCCATTTCCGGTTCGACCCCGGTCTCAGATAAGGAGCTTGTGTTGCCAGGATCTATTGCAGACAACAGCAGCTATACACGGAACTGCTCTGCTGGGAACCCTCTAATCACTGGCTGCCCCTTCCCACAGCTATGCGATGCCCACTAAGACCATGGAGGTGCTGCGGCTACAGGATCAAGGCAGCAAAATGTTCCTGGACTCGGTTTTGACCACCCACGAGCGAGTGGTTCAGGTGGGCACTCTGGGAGAACTGGGCATGTATTGGCCTCTTTTGGTTCTTCTTGTTTTTTCTCCTCTGTCATCCCCTTCTCCCTCTCTCATCTACCCCTTGAATGATGACATTCTCCAGGATTGGTTCTTGGTGCTACATCCCTCCTCATGTAATGCTCTCTCTCTGCAGTCTTGTTGGTTGTATGTGTGTGTGTATATATATAATATATCTGTATATATATTTTATATATATATAGGTAATATATATATATTCCAGATTGCTACCTTGAGCTTCAGTCCTGATGTTTGTTACGGGGCTTCTCTACCAGGATGTTCCATGTGTGTCTTATACTCGATGTATACAAAATGATTGTAGCAGAACTGATGTTTCTCTAATTATAGAATCCTCCCCATCTTTGAGCCTAATGTTGTTGGCTTTTCTCTGCCCTCTGGTATTCATTCATTTATCAATTTTTTTGTTGTTTTTGGGGTCACACTGGCAATGCTCAGGGCTTATTCCTGGCTCTGTGCTCAGGAATTATTTCTAGATAAGTAAAAATATTTCTGGATAAATAAAAATGTCCTTCTCAGGGAACAATATGGGGTGCCAGGGATAGAATCCTACTGGGGGTGGGGATGGCCGGCCGGAGCAATAGTACAGTGGGGAGTGCATTTGCCTTGCGGCCAACCTGGGTTTGATCCCCAACATCCCATTTGGTCCCCCAAGAACTGCCAGAAGTAATTCTTGAGTGCACAGCCAGGAATAACCCCTGAGCATTACTGGGTGTGACCAAAAAGCCAAAACACAAACAAAAACCAGGTCAGCTGCATGCAAGGCAAGTGCCTTACCCACTGCACTGTCTCTCTGGCCCCTCATTTATCAAATTCTATAGCTACTACTCCTAAAGATCTTTCCGATTCATACACTTTGCTCTCCTTTATATCAGTGTGATCATGTCATTCTCCTGGTTCCTTTGAACTCTAACCAGTTCTCTCTCTCTCTCTCTCTCTCTCTCTCTCTCTCTTTTTACTGCAGAGACATATGGGTGACAATCATACCTACATGAGGTTACTGAGAGTTGTTAAAAATTCACACTAGCGTCACCCCACTTTTGTGTAGCAGCTTTATTGGGAGTTGTATTCACAGGCAATACATAGATTTTAGTATATTCAGAGTTATACAACCTGCAGTGCAATCATTTTTAGAACGCTTTTATTACCCCTAAAAGAAGCTCTGTACCCATTATAGTCAGGCCTCTTTCCTCACCACCCTCGCTCCTGGCAACCACTGAACTACTTTCTCTATCTCTTCTAGATGCTTCATTTAAATGAAACTCTGCAGTATATGGCATTAGACACACTTCTTTTATTTTATTATTTTCAAGGTTTACCCAGGTTGTATCATGTGTAGTCATTCATTCATGCATGTGCACGCGTGCAACTCAGACAGGGATCAAACGCAGGACCTCACATGTCTCAGTATGCAGTTTGCCACTGATCCTGGTCCCTTCATTCCTTTTTTTTTTTTCCCAAAGTTTATTTTTGATGCTCTTGTTTAGAATTCTCTTGATGGTAGGGTGTCTTGCATAAATCATTCCAGTAGCACACCCGCCACCAGAGTATCTGCTTCCCTGCACTGTTGTCCCCGTGTCCCCCTCTCTGTCCTGTTTCTCCCCCTTCCTACTGAAGACCACCAGTTTGCAGTTTTTGTTGCCTTTGGGCATTTCTTACACCCCTACTTAGTTTCTTTCTATGCCCCAAATGAGATATCACTCTGTGTCTGCCCCTCTCCTGAGTAACTTCTGTCAGCATAATACTCTCAAAATCCACTCATGTAGCAGCAAATTGCATGATTTCATTTTATAACTGAGTAGTCCTTCATTTCTTCTTACTGACAAATGCTATTCCAATGTGTGTGGATCCCCTTTTGGTTCACTCAAGAAATATGTGTGTCAGCAAGGTAATAGGAGGCATATTAAAGTTGTAATGCCTTTAAATATTATCAGGAATAAATCACTCTAGATATATGACAAATTTAACTTGCCACCAACCATAGTATTATCTCTCTGGCTCCCGGAACTAGTTTTAATTCCCTAATATTGTGCTTAACCCTCTATGATTTACTGAATAGTGTGCTTCGAGCCCTCCCCTGTTCTATTGTTGAATTCTTCCAGTTTTCTCCTCCCCCCCCCCACTCTGAAAATAGCCTCCAGATGTTAACTCTTCCGGGATGCTCCTTGCTCTTCCCAGATGTAGTAGGTATTCCTGCTGCAGCTGCTGCCTGCTCTCCCGTCTCATTCCTTCCACATTCTCCGCACAGGATCTGGCACTTGGCTGTGTGGATAAACTTGAGTTGAATATTCAGTAAATTCTCCTGAACGTCTTAACAGTAACCTCCTAGTCCAGTATAAGGAAGCAGACTTATTGGCAGTCTCCCTCTCTCTCCGCAAGTACACTCTTTAGCAAGAGAAACCTGTGGAACCAGGGCTGAGAGACCCGGTCTGGGCATTAGTGCCCCTGCAAAGCCCTCTGGCTCTGCTGGAACTGATTTTGGAGCCCAGGCCGTGGCTGCTGGGTCTCTGGTGTTCAGTTGCCCTCTCTGAGAGCATCTTCTTTCCTTTTGTAGATCAGTGGTCTGAGTGCTACATTTGCAGAGATTTTCTTGGAGATAATCCAGAGCAATCTTCCGGAAGGAGTCAGATTGTCAGTGAAGGAGGTAAGTGATAACTCTGAGTTGCGCCCCTGATGTTGGGGCTTTCTGTGCTCCAGCTGCAGGAAGGTCTGGCCTGTCTCACTTCCGAAATAACAGAGGATAATGGGTAGCTGCACCACTGACCAGGAAAGGTGTGCAAACAGGTATTACTGTGATCTTTGTTCTCAGTCTTCCAAGGCTCAGTGACGATGCTTTATGCATTACAGGAAGCTGATATCCTCAAGGCCAGAGCGATAGTACAGCGAGTAGTGTGCTTTTCTTGCACACGGCTTACCTGGGTTCAATCTCCAGCATCCCATATGGTCCCCCCTGAGCACCACCAGGAATAATTCCTGAGTGAGGATCCATGAGTAACCCTGAAAAAAAAAGAAAAAGCTTCCTGATTGGGGTTCCTGGTTGGGGTTGAACCCATCACAACCCAGATGACTTCCTATTAGGCAGTTGTGTAGCAGAAAGAATATGATTTAAGATTTCATATAGTGTAATTGATCAGAACACAAATAGGAAAATACATGTGAGAAGGTTTCTGATTGACAACATTGGCAGTGCAGTCAGTAACGAGTACCAGTCAGAAGGGAGTTTGGCTCAGGAATGTGGGCAGCAGTAGAAACCTTAGCGCAGAGACTGAGTCTTTGGGTCCAGTTGCCAAGATGAGCCTCCTGACACAGATCTATTAGGTCATCCCAGACTGAGGCCCTTGGCTTGATCTCGTTTCCCTTTGTTCTGATCTGTGTTGGATGAGCCTCTTCTGTGTCTGGGTTACACAAAGATTTGCATATAGGGATTGAACATTTCCATCCTGCCCCTATTTTCCTATTGTTAGTCACATTTTGGCCCTCTCTCTCCTTTAATTAATGCTTCTCTAGGTCAGAGCTGTAGTATGGTGGGGAGGGTTCGATCCCAGCATCCCATATGGTCCCCTGAGCCTGCCAGCAATGATTGCTGAGTGCAGAGCGAGGAGTAATCCCTGAACATTGCTGGGTGTGGCCCCAAAATAAAAAAACAGATTAAAAAAGAGCCTCTATTGTTATACATATCACATTTTAATGTTAGTACTTCTTATGTCAGTTTTCTCTCCCAAACTCTTAAGCTGATTTAACGCAGAGGAAGTTCAATTCAACTCTCATATATAAATATAAATTTATATATATTTATAAATATATATAAATTTTTTTATATATAAATTTTATGGAGCGATAGCACAGCGGGTAGGGCGTTCGCCTTACAAGCGGCCAACATGGCCGACCCAAGTTCGATTCCTCCGCCCCTCTCGGAGAGCCCGGCAAGCTACCGAGAGTATTCGATATGCCAGACACAGTAACAACAAAGTCTCCAATGGAGACGTTACTGGGCCCACTTGAGCAAATCGACGATCAACGGGAGGGCCTTTACCTTTACCTTTACCGTATATAAATATAAATCTGGCACATAGTAGAGCGTCCATTTAAGTTGAAGCTGGATGGAGGGTCCTCCTTTGATGTTGTTATTCAGTTTATTGGGGTAACTGAAAGCTCCATAGTGATTACCACTCAATTTCTTTTTTCTTCTTCCCAGCACACTGAAGAAGACTTCAAGGGAAGATTCAAATCTCGGCCAGAACTGGAAGAACTCTTGGCTAAGCTGAACTAGCTTGTTGCAGATTCCTACCTGCCATCCCTGGTGATAGTGCCAAGGAGTGTCGTGGGTTGTCAGAGTTCGGCAGGAGACCCTGACCCTCAGGTGGCATCAGGATCCTTTCCACAGCCCGTAGTTCCTCTTCTTTTGTGGAGGAAGTGATGTTTGCCCACGTCACTATTTGAAACAAAACTAATAAAAATTGACAGTTGATAGTATACAGTGAGTGTGTATTTGTGAGAAGTTAGTCCAGCCTGTGAACTTTATTTTTCCTTTGTCATATCTAACCACACCCAGGGATTGCTTCCAGTGGTGCTTAAGTGACCATGTGGTGCTGGGGATCAAACTGGGATCTGCCACATGCAAAGCAAGTGCCTTAACTCTTGTATCTCTCTGGCATCTGTGAAGTTTTTTTTTTTTTAATTTAAATTCATTTATTTAAATTTGTTGGATCACTGTTAATTACAAAGGTACAAAGTTATTCCTGATTGAGTTTCAGTCATGCAGTGTTCCTATGTTTGACTGCCAATCCCTTCACCAGTGTCCACTTCCCCTACCAATGCCCCCCGTTCTGTGTAGGGTTTGTAAGAGATTCTCTCTGGTACTTTTGCCTAGAACCTCAGTATTTCTCTAGTTAGAGTGGACTCATCATTATAGGCAAAGTTTCCCATACTGAGTATATGGGCCCCCAGGGGACCCCGGAACTATCCTGGGACTCCTTGGTAGCTGCAGATGCAGTTGGAGAGGGCTGGTTTTCTGTTTGTCCACCTCAATAATACGGGTTTCCTGGGTTTTGTTTGTTTGTTTCCTGAAAAAGGGACTGTAGCCCAAATAAGTTTGAGAACTGTTTTAAAGCAATCCTTTAGTTAAGAAAGGATCATAAAGGTAAAAGGTAAAGACCCTCCCGTTGTTCGTCAATTTGCTCAAGCGGGCCCAGTAACGTCTCCTTTGGAGACTTTGTTGTTACTGTGTCTGGCATATCGAATACGTCACGGGGGAGCTTGCCAGGCCCTGCCATGCGGGCGAGATACTCTCAGTAGCTTGCCGGGTTCTCCGAGAGGGGCGGAGGAATCGAACTCGGGTCCGCCATGTTGGCTGCGTGCAAGGCAAACGCCCTACCACTGTGCTATCGCTCCAGCTCCAGGATAATAAAACACAAAAAATTCTGATCCAGGGAAATAGCTCGATGAGCTGAATGCATGCTTGGCCAGCAGGCATCAGCCCTGCAAGTTTCCCATGCACTACCGAGAGGACCCCTAAGCACTAAGCCTAGAGTAGTCAATAGCACTGCCTAACGCCCCCCCCCCTAAAAAAAAAAAAGAATTCATGCAAATTATTTGGGGCTGGAGAGATAGTATGGGGTTAAAGCATTTTTCTTGTGTGTGGCTTGCCCCCTGTTCGGTCCCCGGCACCACATACTGTCTCCTGAGCACTGCCAAGTGTGTCCACAACCCCACCCCACAAATGACACAAGCACAAAAACTATGGGCAGAAGGCATGTGGGATGGCTAGATTTTGGTTTTGAATATGAAAAAAACCCCAGATAGATTCAGGGTTTGTATGTAAGCGGGAAAAATAAAGACTTGCTTTTAGGGGTAGTGAGCAACTTCATAAATATTCATAAATAGATGTTATGTAGCTGCTAATTAGGGTTGCCTGGAAAAAGTTAAGTAAAAATTAAAGGTTGATCTTGGTCAGAAGTCACATGGTTACTTTCTATGAGCCAAATCCCATTGCCTGCCAGTTTTAATTTTTTTTAATAAAAGAATCGTCTTTTTTTTATACTTTTTTTTTCTTTTTGGGTCACACCCAGCGATGCTCAGGGCTTACTCCTGGCTTTACACTCAGGAATCACTTCTGGTGGTGCTCAGGGGACCTTATGGGATGCTGGGAATCGAACCTGGGTTGGCCACGTGCAAGGTAAACGCCCTACCCGCTGTGCTATTGCTATCGTCTGTTTTAAAGTGAACAGTTTAGTGGTATTTAGTACACTTAAAATGTTGTGAAATCTCATTGCCTGTGTTTATAAAAAAGGGTTTATTGGAACAGGGTCCTGCTCGCTCATTCACATGTTGGCCATGGCTGCTTTCATGCCAAGGTGGCAGAGTAGCTTGGCAGATAGTGCAGTGCTGAAACAGTCCTCACATGACCCTTTTTTAAAATGTTTGTCAGGCAATAAGATATCACCTCACACCAGTGAGAATGGCACATATCGAAAATAGGAACAATCTGTTGGTGGGGGTGTAGTGAAAAGGGAACTCTCATCCACTGCTGGTGGGAATGTTGTCAGTGCAACCCCTGTGGAAACAGTAGGGAGAGGACTCAGTAATCTTATTGTTGAAATGCCATCTGACTCAGCAATTCCACTTTTGGGCATCTACCCCCCAGGACATAAAAACATTCATTCAAAAGGACATACTCACACTAGTATTCACTCCTGCACTCAGTACAATGGCCAAGACATGGATTCAGCCTACGTGTCCAATGACAGATAAATAGATTATGAAGATGTGGTACATATACACAATGGTATACTACACAGCAGCAAGGAACAATGAAATTATGCAATTTGCTGCAAGCTGGCTGAAACTGGAAGAGATCATGTTGAGTGACGTAAGCCAGGGTTGCAGTTGTGCTGGTGATATGGGTGAGTGGTGTAGCCAAAAATCGAAAACACAGACTCAACAACCCTGGAAAAATGAGATCTAAACTGCAAACACTGGAACTTCGTGATGTGCCTGTCAGGTTGACAGGCGGGGTTGGGCAGGAGGTGTTTGGGTAAAGGTAAAGGTAAGGTAAAGCCCTCCCGTTGATCGTCGATTTGCTCGAGCGGGCCCAGTAACGTCTCCATTGGAGACTTTGTTGTTACTGTGTCTGGCATATCGAATACTCTCGGTAGCTTGCCGGGCTCTCCGAGAGGGGCGGAGGAATCGAACTCGGGTCGGCCATGTTGGCCGCTTGTAAGGCGAACGCCCTACCCGCTGTGCTATCGCTCCAGTGTTTGGGTGGTGAGGGAATATGGGAACACTGATGGAGGGAAGTGGACACCGATAGTGGGATTGGTGTTGAAATATTATATGCCTAAAACAACTAAAACTCAACTATCAATAACTTTGTAAATCACAGTTCTTTAATTAAATTTTTAATTGAAAAAATTCAGTCAGTTCTATCTTTTAAATGTGTACCCTTCTATATGTGTTAAACCGCAATTAAAATGTTACTTGAAAAGGAAAATTTGTCAGGGAGATAGTGCTAATGGTGGGAGTACTTGCATTGCCTGCAGGAGCCCTAGGTTTGATTCCCTGTCATGCATGGCCCCTCAAGCACTGTCAGGAGTCAGGTCTGAGCCAGGAGCAGCTACTGAGCACCAGTGCATATTGCCCCAAAACAAAAAGCAAACAAACTTTGTCACACATGCATCTAAGTCATTAAGTCTAAACTTAGATGTGCATCAGAATCACCCATTCATTGTTTAGAATGTTCTATTTACTAATAATAAATATTTGATGCATTAAGAATAGTGACGTTGTTTATTTTAGGAGGCTAGTTTTTTTTAATACTTTTGGGCCATTCATGGTAGTGATCAGAGACTACTCCCAGCTCTGTGCTCAAGGATTTTACCTAGCAGTGTTCAGAGAACCATACAGTGCCTCCTGCAAGCAGATCATGTGCTCAGTCCATTAAGTTATCTCCCCACCCCTGGAGGGCTTTATTTATTATTATGGTTTACAGGTCACATGTTTATAATCAATGTTAATGTTTCTGGTTTTGAGGTACAGTTACTGCACCTCACCACTACCATGTGCTCAAGACCTTTCCCGGGGTCCTTCTATTACTTCATAGCCTACTTCATCATTCCCCCAAACTATTCCCTACATTGCTTGGCTTTGGCTTTTGTAATCCAGAGTTTGTTACCATTTGCCAAGAGTTTATCATTTGGTATCATCTATTCCCTTGTTTTGTCTTGTTATGTGACATAAATGAAGTGATCATCCAGTATTTCTCCAATTCCAAACTACGATATTTCTATTTATTTTATTTTATTTTGGGTCACACCCAGTGATGCTCAAGGGTTACTCCTGGCTCTGCACTCAGGAATTATTTCTGCCGGTGTTCGGGGGACATATGGAATGCTGGGGATTGAACTCGGGTTGGCTCCATGCAAGGCAAATGCCCTACCTGCTGTACTATCACTCCGGTCCCCCATGATGTCATTTTATTGGAATGTTGTTTATTTTATATTATCTTTAAGTTTGATGGTATTACCCTAGTTTTTTAGAAGAAACTGCAGTTTGGAAAGATAGAACAACTTTCTGCATCAACACAGCTGGTAAGTGACAGGCATCTCTTCCCTGTACCTCACTGTGTCTCTGGGTACCCCTAATGCAGAAGCCTCAGAGCTCAGAGTGTTCTCAGCATTGTAGGTACTTTCTGAGACCCATCAGTTTTAGTTCTGATGTTGTCATGTGTGTGTGTGTGTGTGTGTGTGTGTGTGTGTGTGTGTGGTGCCAAGGATCGAACCTGGGGCCTCAGAAAGCATGTATTGTTTCACTGAGCCACAGCATAGCCCCTGGTGATTTTTGTTTTTCCTCTTAATTTCCAAAAGCAACAAGAAACTCATAACTTTCATTTTTCCTTAAAAAAAATTTTGTGTGGGGGGTGAGTGTGGGGGTGACCACATCCAGCAGTGCTCAGGGGTTACTCCTGGCTTTGCACTCAGGAATTACTCCTGGAGGACTCAGGGGACCATATAGGATACTGGGAATTGAACCTGGGTCAGCTGTGTGCAAGGCAAGTACCTGACCCACCATACTATCTCTCTGGCCCCCTTTTTTTTTTTTTGGGTCGGCACTCAGCAGTGATCAGGGATCATTCCTGGCAGGCTTGGGGGACCATGTGGGATGCCAGGGATCGAATCTAGGTCAGTTGCATGCAGGACAAGTGCCCTTCCCAACGTACAGCCACTCTAGCCCCAAGAAACTTAGATTCCTCCTAAGATATAGTGTGAGAGGCTGTCGGGATGACAGGCACCCTCACTTAAAATGCTTCTCTGAATTCAAGTGCAAGGCTCAGCAGGTCAGGACTTCTAAGCCCACGGGAAGTGTGGGCAGAATTTTCCAGCAAGGACTAGTTTTGGTTGCAGAATTGCTAATTGCTAAGTGTTCTTTAGGTTAAATGAAAAAACAGAGGCAACAGATGAGTGGAAAGT